GGCAGCGGAGGCTACAATGATTTTGGCAATTACAACAATCAATCTTCAAATTTTGGACCCATGAAGGGAGGAAATTTTGGAGGCAGAAGCTCTGGCCCCTATGGTGGTGGCGGCCAATATTTTGCCAAACCACGAAATCAAGGTGGCTATGGTGGTTCTAGCAGCAGCAGCAGCTATGGCAGTGGCAGAAGGTTTTAATAACTGCCAGGAAACAAAGCTTAGCAGGAGAGGAGAGCCAGAGAAGTGACAGGGAAGCTACAGGTTACAACAGATTTGTGAACTCAGCCAAGCACAGTGGTGGCAGGGCCTAGCTGCTACAAAGAAGACATGTTTTAGACAATACTCATGTGTATGGGCAAAAAAACTCGAGGACTGTATTTGTGACTAATTGTATAACACGTTATTTTAGTTTCTGTTCTGTGGAAAGTGTAAAGCATTCCAACAAAGGGTTTTAATGTAGTTTTTTCTTTTTTTTTCTTTTGCACCCATGCTGTTGATTGCTAAATGTAATAGTCTGATCATGACGCTGAATAAATGTGTCTTTTTAAAAAAAAAAAAAAAGAAAATGACTACTGGACCACAGGACTAACTTCTACACATTTTCATTGACCCAAACTCACATTGCCAATAAACTAAGTGTTCTTTGCACTTTGTCTCAGAAAGAAAAAGAAGCCTATTGACTTGGCTGTTGTGAAACAAGAAGGAAGTGGACCCAGTTCACTCTCCCCTCCTGCCCAAGAAGAAGGAAGCTATCAATTTGGCAGTTGTGAAACACGGAGGAAGTGGCCTTGACAACCACTGTTTAATATCCTTCCGCCCTAACTCTAATATTCTTAACTTAGAATGAGAAGGGTGACAGTTTTAGTGCTACAAGTTCCTTAACTTTGCTCTGCTGGACCCCTGACAAGGCTTCTACACAGGACTATGTTAAAAGTAAACTTACCTCAGGGCTTCATTAGGATAGTATGTATGTATATGAGTATTGTAGGCCTCAAATGTTCACATGCTACTTCCAGAATGATCCCCAGCCCTGCTGTCCTTGGGCTGTTTCCCAAGATCCTGTTAGAGGAATTCAACCTAATTCCTTTATTACCCCTAAGAGTCAAACTGAGAATTGGAAATCTAACTGATTGGTTCAACTGCTTTGACTTATTGAGGTCACTGTTTTGTAGGTCTATCCAGATTTCTCAAGTTAGAATATATGGATTTGAATCCCGATTCTATCACCCTGATTCTCTGACCTCAGGCAAGTTACATAAGATCTCTGGTTGTGCCACTGTACAGTCACCATACCATTTCTTTTCCACTTGTTTATGCTTTCAAAGCTCTGATAGACTTTCCACTTATTGCGAAATGAGATGTGTGACTATTTCACTTTGTTTTCCTCCACAGCTGAGTCTAGTTTGCTTCCCACTCTTGATTTCTATTTGAAGATAAAGTATTTTATTTTCTGTTTACTTTTATATGCCTCAAGGAAAAGTGGGGTAGAGATTAACTTAGTTGAGGCAAGTAAGATACTGATTGCATTAGAAAAGTGGGTCCTGCTCTCTGCTGAATGTTTGTTCATTCCATCTTGGTGAGGGTCCTATCTTGTTCCCAGAGGGGACTATCCTCAGATATCACATGGTTTCCTGATCTGATTGAGAATTCCTGAATCCTTTGCTTTCATAAGAAAGAGCCCCATAGTTCACTCTCACCATTTCATCAGCCGGTCTTGCAGGCACTTCTAGCACTGTACAGTGAGAATCTGAAGAATGCAGAGATGGACTTGATTTTCTTCTCTATAAATGTGGGGCTGTTTGTGTGACTCTCAGACTTTGGCATTTTTATCAGTACAGCTCGAAGCAGGTGAGTAAGTGAGAGGGCAACCTTAGGAAGTAAGCCTTTTCATTCCTCTCTGTTATTTGTTTCAGAGTGTCATGTGTTTTTGTGCCTGCCAATATTATTTTTCTTCTTTCTTTGAAGAAGATAAGGATATTTGCAGAATTGCTGAATTTCTTACTCCATATTTTTTTGAACATATATTAAGATAGAGAAAGTCTGTGATGCACTTGTTGTTGGGCACCTGGACATCTAGGCAATCCTCCAACCATGTGAATTTTCTTCCATCTCTGTTCATCTTTGTTTATACTGATGTCATCAGATACTCCAGAGACTATTACCAGATCACTCAAATTGAGAGTCTCATTAACTCCTCTGCCCCTCACGGTTGCAGTGTGTTTGCTCTATACCTGGTTACCTCATTTGTTGCATGATGTTTTCTATTTTCAATCTCAATTGAGACTAACCGCAAATTCAGCTTTTGAGATACTTGCTGCGAGGCTGGTTCATTACAGAAAGGCATTGGGGATATACAGATTTCCAAACACGCATACACACATTTGCATAACCACTAGAGGGTTCAGAGACTCCCTGAGCAAGGTCAATGGACTCCAAGTGATAAAGCAATCCCTGATTATGATAAATTATAGCTTTACTTCATGACTAATGTAGTTAATCTATAAAAGAGTTTAGGAAGTCATCTAGTTTATCCTACTGTGTTCAAACAAAATTCTCAGTAAATATGGTATAGAAGACAACCTGAACGAAATACTGATTCTAGTTTTACAGCTAATTACCTGTGTGATGCATGTCACTTTAATTTCTCAGCCTTAGTTTTGTTATCTGTAAAAATCTGTAAAATGACATAGATGCCCTCCAAAGCCTCTTTCATCTCTGATTCTAATAATAATAATGCCATCCTAGACAGATAATTTCCTTTTGAACTGTCATAATGATAAGTCCACAATCTCTGCAATTAACTTCTCCTCTGTGTTGATATGACAGTACCTTATTTCCTGGGTCAGGTGTTTTGGCATAGCAGGTTAAGCCACTACCTGCAACACCGGCATCCCATGTGGGTGCCAGTTCAAGTCCCAGCTGTTCTACTTCTCATTCAGCTCTCTGTTAATGTGCCTGGGAAAAGCAGCAGACGATAACCCATATACTGGCATCCACATGGGAAATCTGGATGGAGTTCCAGGCTCCTTGCTTTGGCTTGGCCCAGCCCTGGTTCTTTTGGCCATTTGAGGGAGTGAACTAATGAATGGAAGATCTTTCTCTCTGTCTCTCCCTCGCTCTCTGTACCTCTGCCCTTCAAATAAATAAATAGATTTTTTTTACTCCCAATTTTTCTCTAATTCCCTGATACCATAGAACTTTTTTTTAAAAGATTTATTTATTTATTTGAAAGTCAGAGTTACACACAGAGAGAAGGAGACAAAGAGAAAGAAGTCTTCCATCTGCTGGTTCACTTTCCAATTGGCTGCAATGGCCGGAGCTGAGCCAATCCAAAGTCAGGAGCCAGGAGCTTCTTCTGGGTCTCCCACGTGGGTGCAGGAGCCCAAGGACTTGGACTTGGGCCATCTTCTACTGCTTTCCCAGGTCATAGCAGAGAGCTGGATTGGAAGTGGAGCAGCCAGGTCTCGAACCAGTGCCCATATGGGATGCTGGCACTGCAGGTGGCAGCTTAACCTACTATGCCACAGTGCTGACCCCTCATATCATAGAACTTTATTAAATTCTCTGTGTCTTTGTTACCAAAATCATTGCCAGGAATATTACATCTTACTAGTGAAATCCAATGAATAACTTCCATCAGTAGAAAATCTGTTTTCTCACTTCTAAATCATTAATGCACACTCAAATGAGACAACACACAGTACTAACTTCCAAAGGCAGCGCATTAAATAGCCTGTCTCTCAGAGATAAGAGCTAAACAGTTAGTGCCATGTCTGGTGTTTCAAGTTATTCTAGTCTATGCAATGCTTTTCTAAATCCACGCAGAAAGATGACGGTACGGCTGAAGGTATCACATTATGAAAATAAAGCAAAAATGATACCACTTGCCTGAATTTAAGGCCTTACTCCATTTTAGGTCTCAGCATTGAGCTGTCCCACTCCTAGATCCCCACAGAACCTATTCAAAGTAACTGTCCATCCAGAAAGTTAACATTTTTAATTTATTTCTTTTTTATAAAATCTTTTTTTTTAAATTCTGGTAGAATAATTGTGCATACTTTTAATTTTGTCTTTTCTTAAAAGATTTATTTGAAAGGCAGAGAGAGAGAGAGGGAGAGAGAGAAATCTTCCATTTACTGGTTCACTCCCTAAATGGTTGCAATGGCCAGTGTTGGGCCAGGCCAAAGCCAGGAGCTGGGAGCCTCCTCTGAGACTCCCATATGGGTGCAGGGGCCCAAGCACTTGGGACATCCTCCACTGCTTTGCCAAGGACATTAGCAGGGAGTTGGATCAGAAGTACAGCAGCTGGGACTTGAACTGGTGCCCATATGGGATGCCAGTGCTAGAGAAGGTGGCTTAACCCACTGAGCCACAGCACTGGTCTGAAAGGGGAACTCTTAAACACTGTGCATGGGAATGTAAATAAGTATAGCCACTACGGAAAACAATATGTCTTTTAAAACTACAAACAGAACTAACATATGTTCCAGCAATCACACTACCGTGTATATATCCAAAAAGATATGAAATCATTGTATCAGCCCCTCCCTCCCCAGCCTTCCCAGCGAGCGGACGCGGCAGCGCCTCTGTCTCGCTTTTTCTTATTTTTTCCCCCCTTTCCCCTTCCTTTTTTTTTCCCCCTCCCTTTTTCTCCCCTTCCCTCCTTTCACCATTTCCCCTCGGAGGCGCTTCCCCCGGGCAGGGGCAGAGCTGGGTCTCACCCCCGCCTCTCCCCGGCCCCCGCCGCCCTATGGGAGCCCCCTCCTCACCCGGGCACCAGCGGCTGCAGTTGGAGGAGCGGGACCGGCGGCGGCGGCCTCACGTCCAGGGTCACCATGGAACTAACTCGCTGGGCGCCTGGCCGGCCGCAGGCGTGTGTCCCGCCCGAGTGCCTGCGCCCTCCGTGCCCCGCTCCCCTTCTTCTCCCTCCTCAGTCGGCCAGCTCCCTGTCCCGCGCGCCCAGACGCTGAGGAAAATGAGGCGGTGATGGGGGCCCCCGGATGACCCCGTGTCACCCCTGTGAGGTCTACAGCTCTGCCGGGGTGGAGGAGGAGGAGGAGGAGGAAGAGGAGGAGAAGGGAACTACATCAGGCTGGGTGGCAGGCAGCCCCAAAGGATATCATGAAGTTTCCAGGACCCTTGGAAAACCAGAGATTGTCTTTCCTATTGGAAAAGGCAATCTCTAGGGAAGCCCAGATGTGGAAGGTGACTGTGCCGAAATTCCCTACAGATCAGAATGTTTCTCCATCCCAGAGAGATGAAGTAATTCAGTGGCTGGCCAAACTCAAGTACCAGTTCAATCTTTACCCAGAAACGTTTGCTCTGGCTAGCAGTCTTTTGGACAGGTTTTTAGCTACTGTAAAGGTCCACCCGAAATATTTGAGTTGTATTGCCATCAGTTGTTTTTTCCTAGCTGCTAAGACTGTTGAGGAAGATGAGAGAATTCCAGTACTGAAGGTATTGGCAAGAGATAGTTTCTGTGGATGTTCCTCATCTGAAATTCTGAGAATGCAGAGAATTATTCTGGATAAGTTGAATTGGGATCTTCATACAGCCACACCATTGGATTTTCTTCACATTTTTCATGCCATTGCAGTATCAACTAGGCCACAGTTACTGTTCAGTTTGCCCAAATTGAGCCCATCTCAACATCTGGCAGTCCTCACCAAGCAACCGCTTCACTGTATGGCCTGCAGCCACCTTCTGCAGTTCAAAGGATCCATGCTTGCTCTGGCCATAGTTAGTTTGGAAATGGAGAAACTCATTCCTGATTGGCTTCCTCTTACACTTGAACTGCTTCAGAAAGCACAGATGGAGAGCTCCCCGCTGATCCACTGTCGGGAGATTGTGGCACATCACCTTTCTACTCTGGAGTCTTCCCTGCCTCTAAATTCCGTTTATGTCTACCGTCCCCTCAAGCACACACTGGTGACCTCTGACAAAGGAGTGTTCAGATTACATCCCTCCCCTGTCCCGGGCCCAGATTCCTCCACAGACAAGAGCAAGCCAGAAGTGCTAGTCAGAGGTACAGCAGCTTTCTGCCATCATCTCCCAGCTGCCCTTGGGTGCAAGCATACCTCTTCTAATCGCAAAGTAGAGGAAATGGAAGTGGATGAAAAAAAAAAATCATTGTATCAAAGATATCACTGCTCCCTGCAGCACTATCCACAATAGCCAAGACATGGAATCAACCAAGGTATCCATCAACAGACTGATGGATAAAGAAAATATTATACATACACACACACAAACCATGAAATAATATCAGTCATAAAGAAAAACAAAAAGAATGAGATCATATCATTTGCAGCAAAATGAATGGAACTGGAGGACTCTGTGTTAAGTGAAATAAGCCAGATGTAGAAAGACAAATACTGCATAATCTTTCCCACATGTGGAAGCTTAAAAAAACTCAATCTGAACACATGATAGTGATTACTAGAGGCTGAGAGAGGTAGTAGGGGGTAACAGGAGTTTGAGTAATAGGTACCAAATTGGAATTAGATCAAATAAATAAAATTCTAGTGTTTTACATCATAGTGGTGTGACTATAGTTCACAATAACCTAGATAGAAGAAAGGAGTTCCAAGTCTCTAATAAAGGAAATGTTGATTACTCTGATTTGATCTGTATACACGGTAACAGACATGTTATACTGTCACACTGTAGCTCCTGAAATATGTATTACTACTGTAAATAATTTTTTAAAGTGCTATTCTTCCTCACATGCCTCTGTTTTGAATCAGACAACACTTGCAGTTCACATCACTCAGGATTTAACTACATGTTCATACTAAGCCAATCACCCATAAGGGAATGGCCAACTATGGCTTGTGGGCCAACTCTGGCTGCTTGCCTATGTTGTATGGCCCATGAACTCTGTGTTTTACATTTTTAAAGAATTCCCCCAAAATCAAAGGAATAAGAATATTTTATGACACTGAAAAATAATATGAAATTCAAAGTTCAGTGTCCATAAATAAAGTTTAGATATTGTTAAAAGATGTTCTCATGCTACAACAGCAGAGCTGAGTAGTTGGTACAGAGACCACATGGCTCACAAAGCCTAAAAATATCTTTTACAGGAAAAGTTTGCCAATCTCTGGCTTAGACTATTACCTGAGGCCAGGAAGTCTCTCCTCTAAACATAAGTCCTTGTGGTCAGTGAGTATAAACAACACTGAGGCTCTTCCCAGCAAAGATGGAGAGGGGGAGACAGAATTGATTTGGGTAAGTATCAGCTATGTCTGTTTCATATTACCACACATTGAAATTTCAATCAGCTGTCTAAGAACAGACGCATCTTTAAAAGTTTCTACGTAATAGTAATTGGTGTCTCAATGTAGGAAAGTGATGTGGTTTTGATATTGCTTCAGCTTAAGGGGGATATTTGGTATAAGGATTAAAATAATTGTTCTGTTGCTGTTTACAAAAAGCAGTTCCAACTAGCGTAGCATACGAAGTCTTCTGTGTCTGACTCCTGCTTACTTTTCTAGCAACCTGTGCCACTTCCTGCACATGACTATATTGCACCTTCCATTGTGAAGCATTTAAAATTCCCCAAATTTGCCAAGACTTTTCCTTTTCCTGCATCTTTGCCTTTGTCCGTGCTGCCACCTCTGCTGTGAATACTCTTACTTCTTATCCACTGGGGCAATTTTTCAAGTGAAACTTTAATACTTAAGCATTATTTCTTCTGAAAAACTTAAGCAACCACATGTGGAGTTCTTAGTTTGTTGTCTTGGCTTGGGTTCCTTAAAAAGAAGAACCTGAGACAAGGGCTTTCTAAAGTCATTTATTCTGAGAGGTGATTTCGTGGAACAAAAGCTGGGGTAGAAGACCAGAAACAAAACATGAGAAGAAAACCAACACAGTGGTACATTATTGAACTGGTTATCTTCACAGACTATGAGAACCCAGGCCTGCTGGAGAGCTTCTGAGGGACCAGAATTCAGAATTATTTGCTGAGACACAGAAGAAGGGATACTGTCATCCCCTGTGGACATATGGTTGTCCTTGGGAGTGTCTACACCTTTACATTTCCAGTCTTGCACAACAGAGAAGCCCCAGGGTAGAAATCAAGAGGTACTTAGTGCAGCTATCAGATGTCACTTTGGCTCAGTTGGTAGCAATGGATGTGAAATGAGCACGAGATGTCTGTTATGCTCTATAGGATGTTTTTCTCAGATCTGCTAATAGCCTGTATTATATGTAGTGTATCACAGAGTCTTCATGGTGGCAACTGACAGCAGTGTCTACAAAAGAGGAATGAACACTGTCCCTGATGCTATAATGGACCTCAAAGTCATAGTTGATAGTCATCGCCTTCTCTATTCCACTACTACTTGATCTGGGTTAGTTGCCTGTAATTCTTTATACTGGAAAGGCTGAAACCCTTAGTTACTTGAACCTAATTGAGCAAGGGTTGTTGCATTTGCCCATTTTTGGCTAATACTGGCTTGGTTGCACTGAGAAGTCCAACTAGCATGATGACACTGATATAGCATGGTATTCTACAGGACATCAAGTTGATCAATATGGCCTATGGACTATGTATATTGTGACAGGGAACAGGAAAGTTAACATAGTGTTGGGTAGGACAATGAATGTGTACTGTTCTCTTTCCCACATAAAAGGAGACTGGTTTTGTACTTTCTGTTAATGGGATTGAGAAGAACCTATTCATTCACTCAAGGAGTAACTGCATACCAGGAGCCAAAGATCCATGTTATTTTATGTTAGTGAATATATCACACCTGGAACAGCAGCTGTGTTTGGAGCTATTCCTAGGTTAAGTCCACCATCATTTACTGTGATGAATCTGGTTTCTATAGTGGCCAAACAGGCTAAATAGGTTAGTTGAACAAGAATGTGATAGTTATAAACATGTGTATATCCTTTAAGTCTTTCATGGTGACATTGATTTATGCATTTCCTCTCAGAATGTTGTATTCCTTCTGATTCACTATCTTAATCAGTGAGGGTGTACCATTTCAGGGACTTCAACCTGTCCTTCCTCTCCTAATACTTACTATAATGTCAAGAAGCCAAGTTGAGGTTTCTGTCACTTGCCAAGTGTATTCAGTCCAATGGTTCAATTAGCAACTGAGGATATAAGCATAGCGTGGATTTGTGATTCTTCTGGACCACCATGAGGCAAACCTGAGCCACTGGGCTCTATGAAATTCGATTTACCTAGGTGTCATGATAATTCCTCTAGTTTCTGATTTTAATGTCAGGGACACTGTTTCTCTGCCCATGAGTGTATGTCCTTTTGGAGACTCATTGGAGGAATACATGGAGTATATACTTACACTAGTATTGCAAGGTTTTTACTTGTCTTCCCCATCAAATGATAAGCTCTGGATCTGGGAAGTCACTGCAATTACAATTTCCATTGAGATAGCCAGTATCAGCCTTCTGCTCACTATCTGTTGATTTCCTTCCTGGCTATTCATATAAGTAAAGTAACATCCTAGTGGATGTTCATTTAACTTGATCCAAGTTCTTTTAGCTATTATCACAGAGCCCTGTGGGTGAAGGCGTTCTGGTTGTCACTCTGGCCTTGCAGCCCATTATGGTAATTATGTACACTTTCTTTCTGGAGTCAAATGCTACCGTTTGGCCTCTGCTTTTTTAGATACCTATCAACTCAATTCTATTAGGAAATCTAGTTCCAAAGCAGCATCTCTTACTATCAACTACACTTAACTTCTCAGTGTCAATGGCACCCTCCCCAGCATATTTCTTACTACCTTAGAGATAACTATGTCTTCTGGGCTATTACAAAGACACAGTTAGATGGTGGATTCTTAGGTATCATAAATTTACTTTAACTGCCTGAGCTTTATGACACCTGCCTTACGGCAGTAAAGGCATTTCTTGAATCTCTTCTTCATTTTCCATAGGCCTTTGTCATCTTCTCCAAGCTCCAGGGAGCCATCTTAATATTGTATGAAGTTACTTCAAAATGTTGATAGAGGGGAAGGCATTTGACTTAGCAGTTAAGATTCACACAGAAACCTGCCCAAAAGCCACATCCCAAATTTAGTCATCAGGCAGCATCTGAAAAACCCAAATTGAGGGATGTTCTACAAATTTTATGGCCAGTACTATAGAAAAACATTGGGGGCCAGTGCAGTGGCTCACTTGGTTAATCCTCCGCCTGTGGTGCCAGCATCCCATATGGGCGTCGGGTTCTAGTCCCGGTTGCTCCTCTTCTAGTCCAGCTCTCTGCTGTGGCCCAGGAAGGCAGTGGAGGATGGCCCAAGTGCTTGGGCCCCTACACCCATATGGGAGACCAGGAGGAAGCACCTGGCTCCTGGCTTCAGTTTGGCACAGCATGCCAGCTGTAGCAGCCATTTAGGGGGTGAACCAATGGAAGGAAGACCTTTCTCTCTGTTTCTCTCTCTCACTGTCTAACTCTGCCTGCCAAATTATTAAAAAAAAAAAAGAAAGAAAGAAAATATCACTGTGTTGAAAGACTAAGGAATTGCTCCATGTCAAATAAAAATTGAAAATAACACCAAATCCAGTATTTTGTTTTGCTAATATTGGGACAATAGCAAAATTTGCATATATTATATAGATTAGACAATACTTATGCATCAATTTTTTTATTTTACTTGTTTTATTATGGTTAGTAATAGAATTGTTTTCAAAAAGCCTCCACCCATGGTACCAGAATCTCTTACGGGCATCATTTTGTGTCCTGGCTTCTCCTCTTCTGACTCAGCTCTTGGCATATGGCCTGGGAAAGCAATGGAAGATGACCCAAGTGCTTGGGCCCCTGCATCCATGTGGGAGTCCTGGAAGAAGCTCCTGGTTCCTGGCTTCATATAGGCCCACATCTTGCTGTTATAGCTATTTGGGGAGTGAACTCACAGATGGAAATAGCCCTTGTTTTCAACAACTACATGATGGACAATTTTAAGGATAACAGCATTGGGGCCAGCTCTGTGGTGTAGCCGGTAAAGCTGCCGTCTGCAGTGCCGGTATCCTGTATGGGGGCTGGTTCAGGTCCCAGCTGCTCCACTTCTGATCCAGCTCTCTGCTATGGCCTTGGAAAGCAGTAGACGATGGCCCAAGTCCTTGGGCCCTACACTCACGTGGGAGATCCAGAGGAAGTTCCTGACTCCTGGCTTCTGGTTGGCTCAGCTCCAGCTGTTGCAACC